CTCATTCACATGGTTTGGCCCCCTTCTTGGATTTTGTTGCCAAAATGGCAATAATTTGAATGATACGCCTTTTGAGATAAATCATATATCAGTGGTATGTATTACCAAACAATGTACTCTCATTATTTTTTCAACTACCCTATTTATTTTTCATTCACTTGATTTGCATGTCAGAACATTTTTTGGTTAAAGTGGAGGGTGGAAATGCTAGAATGAGTACAAAAAATAAATTGCAGATAAACAAATAAGGGGGGGGGGGTTTACAAAAATGTTAACATGATTTTAATTTTATTGGTCTGCCTATAACTAAATCTGCCATTAACCTGCTAATTGATTTAAAGACAAGTATTTATAGCATGACCTTCACAGATAAAACAAAAATAATGATTGATTATACAGTCAAACCTGTGTTAACGGGTACCTACACTGTAGGATACAGCGGACACCTATCTATAGCGGTCACAACCGAACAGTCTCCAATGAAATTTACATGTAAAACACCCTGTATACAGTGGCCACCTGTCTAACACGGCCAACAGCCAGGCTTCAGTGGCCGCAGTGATCAGTTGAACTGCATATAACGGACATAGTTCCCGGATGTCTTGCAGAGTACTGCCTTAAACCTCAGACATCTACAAGTATATAAGCTCCAAAGATCACAAAGGACAAAGTTAGCAGTTTTCACACTTTTCACTCAACCGATGGCTTCGGCAATTATGTTTTATTCAGTTTACCATGTACGGCCAACACACCGTACTGATGGCCTGGGAACGCCGAAAACATAATTAAGAATTTGAAATTGTTTCGATAAAAGCATGCTGTCATTAATGTTTTTTGAAATATGTATGCCACAGGAATAACTTGGACCGAAGTGTTTTGTACTTGGGGTTTTGTTCAATGAATCAAGCAACCACAACGATGACGACTCGCAAACGGTTTGTGAATCGCCGGGGCACAGTCCACCGGGGTGAAACGGAATGCAGACGGTAAATCCCTGATCGAATTGATTACCAACAAAAAAATGTAACAACTCGCCTGTTATTTAATATCGATATTTATTCACTTTGAACTCCTATAAATATCGACAAATATGCATGTAACTGGAACTGATAGCAAAAGAAAAAAAAATCAACGCAACGGCCATGCCTGTTTATCCATCCAAATAAATTATGCTAATTAGCCTTGCGCATGTGCGTTCTTGTTTTTCCGGGGTTATCATAACTTGGGTCAAAAAGTAGAGTCGCTTCCTTTACTGTGTATTGATCACTGTGAGGGAATATGTGTGCAGTATCGTCTCGTTGTTCAACTAAATTTGTTCAACTTTTTTTTCTGCTCGCTACTGCCTCAGTACATGTAACAATAGATGTTTTTAACAATGATGTTAAATTTACGTCAGTTCGCCGTCTTAAGTCGCCAGGCTTATTTCACACGTTTCTATTGTTGCAGCAGTACGGTGACATGGAAGTCGCCCAGATTTCGATTGCGCAAAGTAAGGTTTGATTTCGCAAGTGAGGTAGGGTAGGTCAGGAAGATTTAAAAAAAAAAAAAATAATTTGCTATAGCCCAGAGACATTTCGATTTATTTGAACAGTTACGAGACGCAATAAATATAAAAAGAAACATACAAATTCAGAATAGCTAAGCAAAGCAAGCTGAGTGATTTCTTTAGTAGGATATGAGACTCAAACTGCTGCTGAACATGAACTTTACTGTACAAATCTTCAAACATTTAATTTTCGATACTACTCATTATTGTTCGATGATTGTAATTTACATAATACAATTTAAAATTGAGATTTTTTATTTGTAATAAAGTGTTTGGATACCATGTGTACAGTAGTGTGATAGTGTGTGTCAAATGGGATTGTGAGATCTGTTTTAATACATTGATTCAATGTCTAATTAATATTCATGAATAAATTAGTGAACCTGTATAGAAAGGCCACCTGTCTATAAATGCCAAAATCTCAAAGTCCCATGGGTGGCCACGATAGACAGGTTTGACTGTATATTTCATATCTCCATACATTGCACATGCTTTCGCTTTGGTCATGAGATTAAATCATTATTTACAAAGTACTTACTACATTTTTTTCCAGGAAACGCATCTTCAACAGGCTATCACTGCACAACAAGTCTATGGTACAACAAGTAACTTAGTAATTCCTACACCAGAGTTTAAAACACAAGTGGTACATTATGAAAAGTTGTATGAAAATAATGTTAGACAAAACAAGCAATACATCCATGTGCAACGTAAGTTATACGTCTTTTATCTACTATCTATATATAAATTTTTCGGGAATTGTAATGCCACAAGACTGTATTACCAAATGTTCTATATTAAAATGATTTTTATTAACAATTTTCACAAAGTGGTGTTGTATCACAAGTACATATTTGAGGTTAAAATACTAGAGGTCGCTGTGACCTTGAATTAACACAATTTGTACTTTAAAAGAAAAAACAATAATGTAGAATTAAGTGGGAATGTGTTCCAAATAAAATTTAATTCTATTGACTTATTTTAAAAATACTATTCTCTAAAAATAGTATGAAGCCTGGTATTTCCTTCAAGGTCACTGTACTCCAGGAAATAAGGTGAAAAGGGTTAGGTTTTGATAGACTGAGGCATTTTATTCATTTAATTGTTTAAAATGAATAAATAATATCAGTAATTATTTTCAGTATTCAGCCTGTTATTTTAGTTTTTTTTAGAATTTCTCCAAAATAGAAATGCTGTTTTCCTTCAAGATGCTGATGAAGCATTGTATTGTTATGCAAATTACTGTGGATAATATAATTTCTTGAAGAACATAACATTAATCATTTATAATATTAAATATGATTATTGTCTATTACTCACCATTCTGCTAGTCAGTTTCTAGTGTTCATGTGTTTATTACCCACTGTCCCAAGGGACTTTAATAAAATTGTCTTTGTAGACAGTTTTTATTTATATAGAGTTTGTATTATTTCTCCATGGTTTGCCAACTCATACATTTGACATATTTGTCTTGCTTGATGTAATTGAAATTTTTTTCATAAATTGAATGCTAATTAAGCCAGTATTCTTTATACACAGGCTGCTCGTATGTTATGCCTTTGAACTGCCTAAAAGTGGTCACTAACGCTGGTTTTATTCTAGTATTCATTAGTTAAAATACAGGAATTAATTGTGTTGATAACTGCTATTTTAAAAGCTGAATCAGTATTTTTATCCAACGATAATCAATATCAGACAATAATTAAAACATATTCAACAATTCATTTAATGCTTATTGACTCTTTACCCGTGTTTCTTTTATGCATTTCAGCCATATGAAGCTAAAACACAATCATTTCCATGAATCATATCAATGAGAACTAATTTATATATATTAAATGTGCTCTAAAATATAATAATTATCAACGTTGTTACTGTGAATGAAAAAAGCAACCCAACCAACAATATTGCAATATAGTTCATTGTTTTTCAAACAGTATAGGAGTATTGATTGTAATGTTATAATTGTGTTAAAACTGGTATCAATATTGCTATTTTGTTAGCAAAACAGTGTACTATATTGCAATATAGTTGGTTAGACTGCTTTTTTGTTAACAGTAATATTTGTGATTTGACTTGTGCGTGTGAATTGCAATGGCCTTTTGGTTACCCATGTCTGCTCCACCAGTATCTTGAGAACCACTCGTCAGATTTTTATGAAACTTGGTATATAGATGCTCTATAAAAATGCACAGGCCTGATTACTTTTGGGTTGAAATCTGTGCATATTAATTACCAAATTAACATTATTAGTCAATTTTCGTTTTTTCTTCCAATATCTAAAATACTAAATATCACATTTAAATGAAACTTTCCACATAGATGCTATGTGACATTGCACAAACCTGATTAGTTTTACGTTAAAATCTGCATATATTACCTAATTCACATAGTAATCAGTTTTATAGTTTTTTCACCAATATTTCAAGTAGTGACCTAGTTAGTTTTGGGTTTAAATATTTCAATAAATATTACGTAATAATTCAATTTTTGGCTTTTCTACCAATTTAAAAAAAAATCGTCACATTTCATTGGTACATAGCTGCCCTGGGACAATGCACTACAGACAAGCTTAGTTTTCTGTTGAAAGCCATGCATGTTTACTACCTAATTTGCATAATATAACAATTTCTACGCACATTCGTAATGTGCATCATTGGCATGGATGTTGAAAAAATGGAAACCAAAAAATTACATATGCATAATATTATGACATAACCCCACACCCTCCCCGAGGCTTTCGTTGCATATGGAAGTTATTTTCACGAGTGATGCGGTGTATCCTGCTGCCGTTCGGATGGGACCACAACAGAACCAGAACTTGAACTGGACGACTATGATACATAGTTTATGTTAGTTAAAAGTTGCTCCACAGAATTGTGCATTGGCAAACATGTCTCCATTGACAGGATTACTTTTGTTAACAGTGGTCATCGCTGAGCTGCACTTCGTTTGTGATGTTGCTTGCTGGTCGTGGATGGACTGAGTCTTGGTTACCGGTAAGCCAGGGTCATCAAACTTTTTCATTGTGAAATAGGGAAGGGGATAGGCACACACACAACCAAAACAGACAAGTAATTAATAATGATGTATCATTGCAATTAATTTATTCTGTAAAAAACACTGTTATTGGAATAACAAATGTCAAATAAATAAGAGAAAAAATATGCCAGTTAAAAATGTATGTAAACAACTGACACAGGAAAATACTGACATTGAAATGAAAATATAAAAAATGAAATGGGATATTAAATAGCTTGTAAATTATTTACATGGAAAAATATGAAGTTTGATAATAAAGTAACCAAAAAATCCAGTGTCAGAAAAAATATTGTAAGCTATGAAATAGTTCAGTGAAATTAATCAATCGAACCCGTCAAAGTCGCTACCACTGTCATCCGAATTGAAATAACGTTGAAGAATTTCTTCATTGCTGAGTTCTGGTGAATTGTCTTCAGAATCGCTGTCGCTACTGACTTCATTATCCGGTGAACTGTCGTCTGCGTCCAAATTTACGTTCAACTGAGTGGCTGCCGTTGATTCAATTTCATACTGTATCGAAGCGGAGCGGTAGTCTGGGTCGTCAGATCCGTCAAGTGCACTACTTATGCCGGTACAGACGAATGACAACTTCACCATGTCAGGTCTGTCTTGAAGTTTGTCCCACGCTCGTGAAACCCAGTTGACGATGTCTTGTTTCGAAGCTGTCTTGGGACGTTCACTTGGACCGATGACCTTTAGCTGACTGTTGATGAACTCACACCATTCCTTACGTAGATATTCTTTAAAAGGCTTATTGATCAACACGTCAAGTGGTTGGAGTTTGGAATTACAGCTCGGTACGTCTGGTTTGATTGAAGTTGGTTGGTTACCGAATCTTCGAGATGTCTGCGGAAGGAGTCGAATATGATGAGTGATTGACGGCCTTTTGTATACGGGAGCCAAATACGTCTGTGCCAAATCTTCATTAATTTGGTATCACACCATCCTTTCTTCTGTACTTCGACGACCATGCCCTTTGGTACATTCAAGTTCAACTTTCTTACACCTTTGAAAATAATCATTGGCGGTAGAACCATACCATTTGCAAGAACCGTCAAAATTACTGTAAGATGACGTTACTCTGCACCGGTGCTGCGAATACTGACCGTCTTTGTCCCTTGCTGAGCGATGGATGTATTCGGCAACAAATCAAAATATGCCGGAGTCTCGTCCATATTTCCGATGAGCTCAAGTGGAAAATTCGTCTTTGCTCAACAATGAAGTCATGGAACGCAGTTATTTTGTCTTCGAGTTCGGTTGGCAATTGTTCGGCCATCGATGTGCAACGTCGTATCGACAGAGAATGTCTACTTAGAAATCAACGCACCCATCCCCCTGAACTCTTGAACACTGGATTGTATGGGTGGATTAGTTCTTGGGCTTTCTGGCGTAGCATATTTGTTGACACTGGAACTTGATTGTCCCGAAGTTCTAGAATCCATTTTACCAGCTTGTCGTCAATTTCTTTGGGGTAAGACAGTTTGCCACCACTTCCGGGAATGTTGCCATACCGTGAGACGCGTTGAATATTCAACTTCCCCGTCGTTTTGTCTCTCATCCACCTGGTGACATTACTGTGGTGTACTGAGTATCGTCTTGTGGCTGCTCGCTGACCGTGCTGCTGAGCGTACACGACGATTCGCGGTTTCACCGACAATGTGTACCGATGCCTGAAGTTGGATTTGGTAGCACTCTCAGTGTCGGC